ATTCACATTGGTTTTATTATGCTCCCGAAGAGAAAGTCGGAAAAAACATGATGAAATCAATAGGTCAATTACCTTAAGAGATCTTCGCGTATCAAAAGTAACAAAACAAAAACAGCTTAAGATAACGTAGTCGTTATCATCACCACAAAGAAGAAAATCAGCTTTCATCATGTTCCTGAAAAGAAAACCGAGTAAAGCATGATGAAAGTAAAAACAGTCATATTTCTACCGTCGGAATTAGGCCTCGCGGACATTTTGAAAGACCGGAGGAGAGGGTCTTCTGAAATGATGATACTATTGAGGAATGTTGCGAAAGATAAAGTGTATGTTTAACTCTTTTAAAAAAAAACCTTTTGATTTTTTCCCAAACTGAAAAATCCTTAGCTACATGAAAAACTAAAATCAATATTTTCCTAAACAAAATGGGGTTTAGGAAAAAACCCTTTTGATTTTTGCCTAAATTGGTAAATCCTTCGCTACGTAAAAAACCAAATAATATTTTCCTAAACCAAATGGGGTTAGGAAAACACACTTTTGATTTTCATCAAAGCTAGGAAATCCTTCGACTCTTTCTAAAGAATGCTTTTTAGTTTTTTTGGTGAAATAGAAAACCCCTTTTTGTTTTTAAATACGCCTTTTTCGGTTTAGGAAAAATTTTCTAGTGAAGGTTTGCTTATTAAACCGTTTTGGGCTTTGTAAAGTAGATACTAAACCATTTTGGGTTCAGAACTGTTATTCCTAAACCCTTTTGGTTTTTCAAAATACGCTTTTTTTTTAGAGTGTAGACTTTATTGGATAGACAGACAGATGAAAATAACGAATATATACTTGCTTCGAAGAACCCAAGACGAGCAATCGTATATCAAGATTTCCTATGGTCTTATATGATCTTACAAGATCTTACAAGATTTTATTCCAGTACTTGGTAAGTACTTCACCTAAGATACAAATCGAATATCTAGCAACTGGTGACAATTCTATTTAAGGTTTGATAATGTCAACTGTACAACGCGTCGACATGCATTAGATATATCGAACAAATTAGAATTATTACGTTTAGCATCGACATACACGGAAAAGCTTGCAGAAGAAGACAAAATTGAATTCGTTCATCATTTGACAATATCAAGAAAAATTCGATCATATTATGCTGAAGACGTTGAGGCCAAATCATTAAATGAAATAACAAATGTTAAGCTATCAGCAAACGATAAAAATATAACAGAAGCAGTATTAAATGGAGCAAAATACAAAACCTTTATAAAAACCAATGTTAAAGGTGTTCGATATTCCACAGTAGAGGATCCATAGTCAAATAACTCATGTGTACTGTAAAACGAAGAAAACGAAATTTCTAAGGAGCCATGGTTTACCCTTGGTCAGGTGCTGGGTCCGAAGAAGTCAGAATGAGTATCAAAAAGAACAGAAAAAAGAAAGAAACATCCATTTTTATTCTGGAGGTGTAAAGTATCTACTTAAATCACAAGTGGTGTCTCATAGAGATCTATCAAACAACTGAATGTCGAAAAGAACATCAGTCAATCAATGCTGATGACGACATAAGAACATTTAATACTCAAGACGAAGTTGCAGGATATGTTAAACAAAATGACAATGATCTTGTTATTGTTGATATTGTCATATGTTTTAGTAGTTTTTTAGTATCCGTTCAGACCCCGCAGAAGCCTAGTGACTTGGTACAACCGAAAGCCAAGCGGTGCTGGTAGGCACTAAACACTTTCGAAAAGAAAACTTTCTGATTTCATTGAGAAGAGCATTCCGAAAATCTCAGAACACTATTCCAGATTTTTCAATGATTCTGCATAGCAAAGTTTTCCAAAACCTGATTTTCCAGTAAACCTATCAAATACACACTGTCCAACAGTATCCAATCACTTTTTGAATTATGCTGGATGAGATCAGGACATTAAAAACATATTCAAAAATATTTCCAGAAATTCGGATGAGTTTGTACTAAATACGGTCTCAGAGTCTTAAGGCTCTCGGATCGAACCTGGATAAAGTCTTCAGAACCGGATCGAACCATTTCCATGCTTCATAAAGAACAGCAATGGAAAGAGCATATCGAGAAACGTATAGAAATCCTTTACACGAAATTCTCGACACTTTTTATTATAACCATTGGAAAGAGCGCGTTAGAAAACCTATAAACATATCACCGGAAAAAAAATAAAGTTCGTTTAGAGTTGCTGAAAAGTGGTTTTTCGTATTCAGCACACTCGATAACCCAGAAGATTTTCTATTTTTGGCTCGGGGTACTTCCGAAAGTTTCGGAA